TCAACTCCCAGAATTCCTCAGCCAGCTGAGGAATTCTGAGAGTTGAAGTCCACAAGTCTTAAAGTTGCCAAGGTTGGACACCCCTGCATTAAACCAACTTTCCTCAGTATGGATTCACTTAGATTAATTAAAACTGCCATTTTTATGTTAACACAATAATAGTGGAACATTTGCAATATATTTGAGGTCTAAATAGTAAGAAACTAATTCATTCAATGACAGAATAGCCTTAAACCAATGTCTTAATAACCACTTATTATTTAATATTGAAGGAGTGGCTACACCACCAATATTTCCCCAACTAACTTCAGCTTTTTGTTTTAGCATTGTTTAACTGGAAGCTTTTCACTTGAAGAGGAAAAACTAATTGTGCATCCTAGTCAGGTCATACAGTATTCCACAGCATCCTATGATTACAAAGTGCATGGAAAGTTTGGCCTAACCAGAATAAATCAATTTCTTAAAATAAAATTAAGAAAGCACCAACTTTGGCCACCCAAGAAGAGGATGCCTTAAGACAGCCTTTTCCAAGTTAGTGCCTTCCAGATGTTTTCTCATATCTTCAATGACCATTGCAAGCTTGTGTCCATCCTCTAACCATGATTTTTCTCCACCCACTACTGTGAATAAATATAGCAATACGCAAAGTTGGTACTGTAATTTCATGAGTTGCCAGAATTTCTTAACATCAAATGAAAGCTACTTCCCAATATTCCGTAAGAAAATTGTTTTGCATACCTCACCTGTAGTTTGAAAGAAACAAAACATCAACCTGCACTCTCCAGTGTGTAATTCAACTGTTGGAAGAAGAAAATTGTCCGTAAATAAGAGTTTTAATAATTATTTTTTTCATTACAGGATATTGGAGGGGAGTGGGTTGAAATCCTTCTATCTCAAGTGATTAAAAATATGATAAAATGCTAGAACTGCATATGCAAACTATATACACATATATAGAGCATATGTTGGCCAGAAATCCACCCATATGAAGAAAACTAATTGGCAATTGGAGTAGCACAGCAACAGGTTATGTTCAGAATAGTCTATGCAGCTATTCCCAACATAATTCATAGCCCATAAGTAAATGTGTTAAGAGACACAAAACAACAAATTTAAAATTCATTTACAGAGCAAAAAATTTTCAACATAAAATACAGTAGAATAAATCAGCCTCTGCAACTTTTCCAAAATTTAAATATGGTAACAAATTTCATTATCTTAATACTAATCTCAAACGCACTACTCTAATATCACCTCCGCATCTCTAAACATCCTGAAATAAATAGCAAAATATCAAATATTGACTATGCTGCATAGAAAGATTAACATTGGAAAAGGCAACCTTCCAGACAATCTGGACATTTTGAGCTTGACACATAATAACCAATATTGTTTTTGTGCCAATACAAATGAAATGTATTAGTATAATATGCTGTAAGAAATGAATACAAAACCACTGTAGCCACTGCAGTACAGAGGCTGGAATTTCTGGAAACTCTTATAGAACAGCACATTGCAGTAGTCCAATCTACATGTGAATAGGATAGCAGTTAAACCTTTATGAAAAAGGGCCAGCAGGCACGCATCAAAACTCCTAAACCAAGCCAGGACCTCTACGGACTAACTCCTGTACCTAAATAATGATTCAGGACTTTCATAGTTGATTTGGCCTTTACAAGAACCAAAGAGAAAAAGCTAGGCATTCTCTGCATATAACCAACTCCAAATTGTCCATAAGCAGTGGTGTATTAACCATTAAGCAGACTAAGGGGGCACCACAAAGTTGAGAATGTGGCTTCATTTGTACAGTATGTACAATGTAGGGGGGCACCAAGATTTGTCAATGCTTAGGGCGCCAGTGAGCCTTAATCCGCCACTGTCCATAGGTCCTGTCAGGCATTAAACAACTCAGTGAAAAAGCAGATCCGTTAAAGTTAAAGGAATGTATATCCTTTCTTCTATTAGGATTGAGTATATACTCCAAATAATCATGTATCTATACATTAAAAATTAGCATTACAACGTACAACATTTAGACATTTCAGCATTGTAATACCAGTTTGTCTCTTCTCAAAAAAGAAATTGTTCCTATTATTAATTCAGTATTCTTTTAATTAAGTCTACCTTATTCATGGACTCATTTCAATTGCAGAGACTATTTGTGGGAAAGAAGGAAATTCTGCATCAGTTATCTAGATTGATTATTTGCTTAATATATTTCAATGAATTATTATTTCAAAGTTGTGTTAACACAATTTTATTAATACTTTACTATTAATAATAATAGTAACTTAGCAAGGGACATAAGAACAAAAAATGTTGAGTGTGGGATATTTGTTGAAAGGTGAGTTAAAAATCAACTAATAAGTACTGCCTTTTCAAGTTTTAAGGATGGCAAAGATGACCATCTATTTATGTAAGAAACCAACCAGGCATATAAGAGATTATGTGGTTTGATCATACTGCAGGTATAACATAATTTGAAATATAAATTGGGAGAGATTTCGTTACAAAACAAATAACTGTAGAAGAGGTGTTTTCTTCTGAAAAGCAAGAGAAAAGAATAAATATCCTCCATCTGTCCTGGTCCTGTTCATTGCCACATTTTTCAAGGTGGATCTTTTGCATTTTTGTTCTTTGCTATGTCTACTTTGTCCTTCTTTACTACAGCTGAGGAAAGTGGGTCTTAATTTGTAAGCCACCTCAAATCCATGTCACAAAAAACAGAGTTCCATCTCAATACCTGTTTTAGCCAGCCAATTCATTTTAACCAAAATGTTTTTCCCATGCTGGACACCTCTTTAAAGAGCTGCTTCATCAATGTTTTAACAGAAGCAAAGCACTTTTTCAAATGTTCACATAGACTAATGAATGAATGCAGAGCTGTATAATTACACCTTGGCAATTGCTTTCCATAATAATTGGAATGGAGAATTTACATTTATAATGAATTTGGGTCTGAGTAATCTTCAATACCCTGGGCAACTGAAAAGGTGTGACAATACCAAGAAAA